ATATATACGTATATATATGTTTGGGAGACTTACGACTTTAATTTTGGCTTGAATTTCACGGAGTTTCCGTCTGGCGAGCACTTGGATATGGGAGCTGACTTGTTTACGGGTTCTCGTCTTGCCCGTGCGCAATTTGATGTAACGCGCGATTAGCTCGTTGCGCCCTGTAATGAAAAATATAATGTAAATATAAAATATGCCCAATAAAAAAAAACAATTAAATAAATGGTGCAATCCAATGTTTACACAAAAGATATTTCGGTTATTAGTTCACAAGTGCATAAAAATTACGATTCACATATGATACCTATGGATACATAGTATAATTGTGGCCGTGCATTCCCGGCATCAGTTGAGGCATTAAAGCGTTGCCTCCCCTCCAGCCTGCCCCTGCCCGCACAAATTCCGCTTGTCTGCAGACTTTAAAGATGCCACATTTACGTAAAACCACATATAGAAAGCTACAGTAGGTAGTGCCCCACTTGCAGGTACCCTGAACTTATTGCCGAACAGCCGCTACAAATATTTTAGCCTGACTTCGTACCTGGCATTCTTGATTAACTTCGCTGTTTATGGTACGATCTTTATGAAATATGGCTTAAATATGGCAGATACAAGTGTGTACATACCAGAGCACAAGGCTCTCTCTCTCTCTTATAGTTGCCGAGCTCGACGCGTGCACACAGATGTACGAACAGATGGAAAGGGCTAGATCGACTCTGCTCGAGAACATAAAAAATGAGATCGGAGATGCTTTCTTCTGTCTATTAGGTTCACTTGCACAATAGCTTTAACTCGCTTTTAACAGCTTCAGATTATTACTCTGCATATTTAGAATATAAATGAATAAACTTATACAGATGCATACATGACATACAATTATAATTCGCTTTTTGGGAGTTCACGTCGTAACATTCGCGCCATTTTGTATACATTTCATCTAACAGAATTATATTCAATAAATATCTGTGCTAAACACAGATCGCAACAAATTATTAAAATGAATTTAGCATTTGTCCGAAATTCAGGAAAATTCCACAGCGGTAATCAAAGTTATTTGGGATATTCCATATGCAGACATTTTGTGGATTCCAATTAAAGATAATTTCAAGGATTAAACAAACCGAAATTCTAAACAGAAATCATTCTAAACAAGTAAGAGGTTCTAGTCGGGAGCTCCTGACTAGGGGATACCTTGAACCCTCTTCTTCCAACATCATGTGCATATATATATTCTATTTTAGAAGCAATATGTCAAGTTTGGTGACTCTAGCTCTTATTATTTACCAAAATTGCCCAAAAAACAGGATATCGACATCGATTTTTATCGATTGCTTGGAAACGGAGTAAGTTATCGATTATCGGAAACAAACTCGATCTGCGCGGGAACTAGGAGCACCTACATCTAAAATTTCAAGCTCTTATAGGTTCTGAGATCCTTGCGTTCATACATACGGACGGACGGACGGACAGACAGACGGACAGACAGACGGACATGGCCAGATCGACTCGGCTATTGATGCTGATCAAGAATGTATATACTTTATGGGGTCGGAGATGCTTCCTTCTGCCTGTTACATACATTTGGATTTGGCACAAATACAATATACCCTTATACCCATTTTTAATGGGTTCAGGGTATAAAAAGCCAACAAATCATGGTCGCAAATAAGGTGCTTGATGGGCAAGTCTGTATGTAGGGGTTATTATTTGTAGCATCTACGACAGCACAGCTGGAGATGCGTTACAGAAACCCTATGATAGGATGAATCAAATGCTGCTTTCAGTTGTGCGCAAATTTCAATGAAAGCCCGACGACATTTTCACGTGTTGGCTAAATGTGCTTCGACTGACGTCAGTGTCCTGTTGCCTTGCCATTGCCCCACTGCCAGGCCAGCTATAGAAGCGACTGAGTGTGGGTGTGGGCGGGTCATCCTTTAGCTTATGCTTGGCAGCAGCAAGCCGGCAGAATGAGAGACAGAGCCCCATTCTGCTGCTCCTGCGCCCCGACAGCGATCCAGCTTTTATTGTACACACGCTTATGCGTTCACTAATTACATTCTTGGCATAGTTTCAGTTCTAACCGAATAAAATTATTTTCAGCGACTCAAACCCCGTCGCAGACAGCCCAACCAAGCACACGCATATTGCCGGATCCGGCGCTCAAAGTCCGGGCTACTGCTGCCGGGTGGGTGGGTGATGGTGGTGATGATGGTGGGGAGTTGGTGGTGTGGTTCGTATCGCTGCGCTGTAGGTACGGTTAAGAATTACTGGCGCAAAGAGCAGACACAACACACACAGGCATACAGGAACAAAGACATAGACGACCCACCCACTACCCACTTAATGCTTTGTGAACGCCTTTGGGCCAGCTCAGCCAGGGAGGAATTCAATGAAGCTGCACGGAGCGCCACGAAGTCAGTGATACAAATATAGAACCGAAAGTCGTGGGCAAGGCATGCACACATCTAAATGAGCCAGTTCACAAATGCGCAAAATGTAGCCAGAAACTTCCAGTTGTTTCCATTTGCGCCGATTTTTTAATCAAACTAGTTCATGAATCTGTACTTAAATTCACATTTTGCAAATAATTCTTAGCTGTTGCGATCAATGCAGGTTTTCGACCTAAGCCTGTTCGTGAACCAGTTCACATATGAACATATTAAGACACAAAACTATTTCTGGCATTTTATAATCAAATATTTTAGTAGTTCATATGACTGCTTTAATGAACCAGTTCGTAAGTGTGCACACTAACAGCATAAATTCGCACACAAAGAAACAAGAAGCTAGGCCTAAAGCTGTATTATTTCTGCATTAAATTCACGTAACTAGTTCAGTAGTTCACAGTTCACATGACAGGTTCTGCACGGGCAATTGTTATGCAGCCCTATCACTGAATAGATGCCAAGTAAGGTCCTGAGCGCCCAATTTCTTACCCCCACACCATACAAACACACACGCACACAGAGAGAGACTCTCACATATACACACACACACACACACACACAAGCGTGAACAAAACGTATATACTTAATATGAATAGGAAGAGCCGAGCATTTCAATTTCTTGACGCTTTAAATCTTTGCAAATCGATGGGCCATGGCCCAAAAAAGGAAGAGCCGGAATTCAAATGGAATTTATGGCCAAACTTTGTGTGCGACACAAATATGCAATATATATATATATATGTGTGTGTGTGTGTGTGCAAGTACTGTATATAGTGCGTTATTTTAATTATAGAGTAACTGTTTGTTCAGCTCGCATGACTAATAGAACAGAATCACGCTAAGCGATTCCTAATGATTCAAACGCTTTCGGCTCCATTCCAAACGCTGGCAGTTCAAAGTATCAATAAATAATCACGTATCTGTTTGTCATTTTAATCGCCAATTTATTTAATGCATTTAAATCAATCAAAAACCGAGTGCACAGTACTGTGGCCTGAATTGTGTACACGCTACGCCCGTTCGAATCATTCGATATATGTCAATTGAATTGTTGCTATCTAGCTACGAAAATGTTGACCCCGAGCTCTATTGCAGTTCACATCATTTAATTGATACTCATTGATGACGACAGGTGCTGCTAATTGTAGGATCGCAACTTTTGTCAAATACTTTTCGTAGTATTCAAAAGTGAATTGTGAAAATTTTGAATGTAGGGACTTAAATGGAGCACGCACGAGCTGCTCGTGTTAAGATCAAGGTTGCAAACTGACTTTAACTCGAACCGGTTCGTGGCTGGAATTACCTTTTGTTTTTTTAACCAAGTCATAGCAATTCTTACACATATTTTGGAAGAAAACATAGTGGATTCAGTACCGAGTTATAGTTAATTTGGACCCCATATTTGTTGGCTGCCAAATGCTGGTAAGCCCGCAAACTCTACGTAAAATAAAAATATTAAAGGTTTTCATTATTTTCATTAGAACTGGCAATTATAAATCAGAAAAACTGTACAAATTTGAGCATATGTGACAAACCGGGATTGGTATCTAGAGTTGGGTTCGAAAATTAGATTGAGGAACCTGAAGGAATGAAGTTGGTTCGAACATGCAAACGAAGCACCGAGAACTTGATTCTTTGAGTTTGCAGCCCAAGTCGAAACGATTAACTTTCGTGCTGATAGATGATGACAAACCGGGATTAGAATCAAGAACTGGCTTTAAGAATGTGAATGCGGGAGCTGAAGGCACGACGTTGATTCGAACCTTCAAACGAACTAACAACAATTTGATTTGCTGAGTTTGCAGCCCTGGTTAAGACTTTGAACTTCGTGCTGAATAGATGTTTCGTGTTGAATATATGTATGTATACGTCAAACTCAGGTGGGAATAAAGACCTAGTTTCAAGAATGTGGAGGAGGAAGCTGAAGGCGCGAAGCTGATTCGAAACTTAAAGGAACTACTGAGAATTTGACTGCGTACGACTTTAAATTTCGAACTGAAGAAATTAATATGTTTATTTGATTTTGACTATATATCTAGGGCGGTTTAATTAATATTCTGATGAGAAGAGACATTTATCTTAAATGTTTCGTGCTGGCACGTTTCCATCCCTAGATTGGCTCAAATGCCAGACACATAGAACAAGCACACAAGATTTTATTTGTACTCATATTTAAATGTGACAAAGGTTAATCAGTCAATTGAAGTGGCGCTGCTTTAAACATACGTAAAACACACACATATATAACTAAGTGTGCAGTCTTTTCGAGAAGGACAGTAATAGACGCAATTCTGGTGTTAATTAATTGCATTTTCTTGATATAAAAATGCCGCCGAAAAGTATTTTGTTTTGGTGTATTTTAAACTTGCTTCATCGTTTGCAGTTAAATTCGCAAAGGTTAATACCTCAGACATTAAATTATATTAGCTTAATTTAATTAAGTCCATAAAACTTAAGACAAAAACGAAATTTCGCATTAAAAAGTGCACGTTGGCAGCTTTATAAGACAAATAATCCATGCAGCAAGTAGAATGTTAATTTATTGCAGTTAAATAAATTAATCAATTTGAAAAATCCAAAAAATGTTGACAAATTTTCAACAAAGTTTGATTGTCTTTAAAATGAGTAATACTTATGATAATGTTAAATTAATATTAAAAAAAAACCTTGATTAGTATTTCATATAAAAATCGAATAAATTTTGACAAAATGATGAGTGCGCATACGCGATTTTTTATGGGCTTAAATAAGGTTGCGGTTGCAAAACTGGTTCACAATGGCAGCTCCCAAACTGGTTCAAATGTAGCTATTAACATTATTTAAAAATAAATATTGGCACTGTTTTGCAGCAAAGGGACGTTGCTCAACACTTTGCTAGCGGTTTCTGAGCAGTGTGGCCAGTTGTTGATTTAAATATAACCGAGATTAGCTGAATGCAGTGTTAAAAATAGCTAAAAATAGCTGAATTAGCTCTATGAGCACAAAAACAGGATTGTTTTCTGAATGCTGAACCATTTTAACTATTTATTTGTAGCCTGATAAAAGCCAAATACAGCTAGAAAATGGCTTAATTGTCGACACTGTTTGTAAGCGCTTTGAAATAGTTTCTGCATGCATGTTTATTAAGGGCTCTTCAGGTGAATTTTTTGCCAAAAAACAAAAAAAACCGTTTACACAACAAGAGGCGCATACACATGCACATGCATGGGGCAACATTGAATGCTGTGGTGCCACTTTGGCTACCATATAAAATCAGTGGCCAAGGCTAAGCGGGGAGGTGCCATATTCTCCATAGCGCGAATGTGCACACACACATGTTGGGTAAGTGTGTGAGCGTGTGTTGATGTGATAAGCCGGCTTAGTCGCCGCTAGTGGAGCTACATATTTGTGGCAGCAGCTGGAGGCAGCGCGGCAGGCAGAAAGTTTTAGGCCACAAATTTCACAGGAGGCAGGCACCAAGCCCAGCCCAAAACGCCGTTTCCCCCTAGAACCAAGCGCTGCGCCCCGCTTGCTGCATGCAGCTGTCCATCCGCTTGTCATGTGTCATAACCAGCCCCCCCCAGTGAGTGTGGGTGTGTGGGTGTGTGTGTGTGTGTGTGTTGCATGCTCAGTGAGTATGCAAATATTTGGAAAATTAACAACCAAACAATGGTTATATTTTCACACATAACGCAGCGGGGACGGCGACGTAGACCGCAACCAGTGCAAAGCCCTGCCCCTGCCCCTGCCCCCGCTCCGCCACGCCCCATTCTCTATGAACCCGCTGATTTTGGGAGGGACGTCAAGCTTTGCCGATATTTAGTGGGCAATGCAGTAGTTGTCTCGTGTTTAGCCCGTAACCAAAAACATTTTTCCAATTTCCCAACAACAACGCGTTTTTCTTGTTATTCGCTTTGCCGGCAGCGGCAACAACTCGTGCAGCTGGCGAACGTCAAGGAATTTTCAGAGTGGCTGCATAAGCCACGTGTTGGCAATAAATAAAACTTTAGTCGCCTCTTGTCACAATGTTTCGCATATTTAGCAAGCTGGTTAATAGAGAGCGGGGGCGAGAAAGAGACGAATCAATTGCAGTAATATCAGCTAATGCGGGCAAATAGAGGCTTATTAGCATTAAACTACTCGAAACAAGCAACTGGATCTATCTATGTACATACATATATGAAAGAGTTTAAGAAGCTTAAGATTTTACACGGAATCTACCTTTTGGGCAAAACTAAGCAGAGGCATCAAGTTTTTTGTGAAAAATAGGACTGTGGGGCTTAGATGTGTGAGCGTTGGACTAGCAAGCGAAAGGTCGCCGGTGCGAGTCCAATTTTTCAACAGTGCTCATTTGAAATGAAAATATTTACGGAAAACAATCCTAGCTCTAACTCTACCTATTAAAACTATGATTGGCATTAAAATTGTTTACTTTTTAATTGATTTTTGATGTATCCACTTGCAAGTGTGGAAAATGAATGGAAGAAGATTGTATAAATCTTTCTTGCTACCGATCCGCTTCAAATGAATTCTCACCTGGTTGGATATTGCAGGATCTAGCTCATGTGCAGAATAACTAACTGCCAACAAAGGTATATGCCAACACTACGAACAGAACAATAATGCTTGGGACGAACAATTCAACAAATCATTTGGCTAGGGGACGAGAGGGGGGGGGGGGTAATTTCTACCACTGTGTTTTGAATAGCCAAACAAAAAACGAGACCCCTTGTCGGGGCGCTGCAATGAAGGTGTCAGCTCGTGCTCGGAGCTAGGTAAGCCAAAAAGTGAAAAGTGAAAATTAATTACTTGCTCAAATACAAAAACAATGGCAAGCAATGGACACAGACACGGACACGGACACGGACATACGGGGCATAGCTTGAGCCGTTGCCGAAAAGCAAACAAAGTGTGCTTTCATGCAACAAGCGCCAGCAGGGACAAGGGACGAAGGAGCGGACGGTGCGGCGGCAACTGTGGGGAACTGGGCGAGTCCGAGCATAAAATGAAAACAATATCCTCTGGGACATAAATTACAAAAATTGTTGTTTATGCGTGTAGACGTCTCAAATAAAGCACACACAGGATGCGACTAGCAGCAGCAACAGCAGCAAAGCATTACCAGGCCGTGCCTATCGCCTGTGTGTGGGGGTCAGAGGCAGGCAACGCTGAAGGGGCATGGAGAGGGCGCAGCATTCTCACAATTTGCTGTCGTAATTCCATTGAGCCGCCATTTGGGTGTGGCCAGCAACAGCAGCAGCAGACGAAGACAACACGCCGCCGGCTTTGTATGTCCTTTTAGCTTTTATTGTAAATACAACAACACCCTCGCACACACACACAACCAGCGCAGTTCACGTTTACAATTTTAGTTGTCAGCACATTTAGCCCGACTCGACAACGTTTTGCGGCACGGTATCAAACTTTGAACGCCGCTGCCATCGCCTGTTGCCATATCCCAAGCCCAACCGAGGGGCCAACAACGCAACCCAACCCAAATGCCACCCACAGCCACCCACTGAAAGCAACCTGGGCGCACAAAGCGCTTTGACACAACTTTCAGCTCAAGGTTCAAAGTACGGAATTTATGTTTTCTTTACACGGGCCGCCGCAAACATACGCCAAAAAAGAAGAATGCGCCGAGCTTTAGAAGCATGCGACTAGCAGATGCTCTATAAATATTTAACATTCCTGATTTATGATTTAATCGTACCAAAGTTGGTTAGTTAGCTTAATTAAAAATATGAACTATAAACATAAATGCTGCGCTTGCCAACTTCTTGTGCATTAAGGTATGCCCACAAATTATGGCTGTCGATTGATTGATTTAATAAACATAATCTAAATACCCACGCTTGGGCTTTTTAAGAACTCGAAAACCGCTAGAAAAAAACGACTGCAAAACAATCGATTTTTGTATATGTCAAAATCGAAACTTTTATTGATATGTTCTGCGCTCATATTTCAACTATCGTTATAATCGAAACGTGCGTTTTTAGCGAATTGAATCGATGAATTTAAAATTATGCATATTCCCAGAACATTTAAAATGCCCAAACAGAGAATGCATGATTCGATAATTATCGAATTGTTATCAAAAGATACGCTAACTACATTTCTATTAGCTTTTTGAGAGAATCCAAGCAGATTTCCCTGGCAGTTGTTATAGGGTATAGCACACAAACAAAAACAATAGAAGCGAGCAGCGGCAACCGCAAAATTCCTGTTTGTTTTCTGTTTTTACCCAAGCACGAACGAAGGGCACACACGTGCGCAAAGAGAGAGAGAGAGAGAGAGAGAGAGAGAGAGAGAGAGAGAGAGAGAGAGAGAGAGAGAGAGAGAGAGAGAGAGAGAGAGAGAGGAAAGAGAAAGATAAAGAGTAGGAGAGTGTGTGTGCACCTTGTCGAGAAATTCATAGTCAACCAAAAGTACAGAGCTCAAGTATTCATATAAATTTTATATACATACGCCCACAAATACACCCCGCCCCATATGGATAGAGGTATATATTTGCAATACTATTGAAATTGAAATTGAAATAGTTCACTTACCATACATTTTACCCTCATCGGATAATATAATCTTTCGCCGTCCACATGGTGGATATATTGACAGTGCCTCTTGAAAGCTTTGCTCAATGTCCGGACTCCAGACACCCTCGGCATCGGCGGATGATAAATCTTTTTCGTCCTGAAATCAATTCCGAATTGTGTCAGTACTCACTCAATGATAAATATTTAAATATATATATATATATATATATATATATATATATATATATATATGTATATAAGTGGTCTGTAGTTCTGTGTAGCAGCTGCACTTTGTCCAGTCAATTATATCGATTCATTTTCTTCATCGATTATTCATCGAAAGCAAAAATAATTTGATTGCATTGTGACAACTGCTGTCGGCAATTGCTTACGTTCTGGATTTGCTGGGGCCACAGTCAAATGGAATGCAAATATTTGCGTTTGCTTTGACCTCAAGGAATAAGGAAGTCCTTGCTAGCCCTTACAGCCATATCCAAGTCTAGTTTTGAGGAGTACCTCAAATAGGGTTTCAATTGGGAAATTAACTCTAGTATGTTAGGTATGTCTAGTATGTCTAACAAGGAACTTGAAAGAAATTAAACGTAAAAACACATTCAATAATTTCTGTTCAAGAACTTAAGATGATTCAAAAGAGTTCTAGTTTTCATTAATATTCGTTAGGTCAATTATATTAAGCGAATGAAAGAAATGAAACATAAAAACATTCATAGATTTCTGTTCAAAATTAAAAAGGGCTTAACAAGTTGATTCAAAAGAGTTCTAGCTTTCATTAATATTCCCAATGGATCTTTAAGGAAACATTCCCAGACAACATGCACTATACAGATCATTAATTTATATAACATATCCACCTGTAGATTTTGTTTGTATTATAATTTGCGGTACTTACATCGCTCATATCGCCAACATCCAAGTTTTTACTGTCCACCATGCTGCCATTTGTGTCTGCCGATCCCAGGGGACCAGGAGGACCGGCATTCACTGGTGGCCACGGGGATGGTATGGTGCCGGGTCCGACTGCAAAGCAAATAACAGAGAAAAAACAATTTAGAAACAAAATTGTGGTGTGTGTGTGTGTGTGTGGTGTGGGTGTGTATGTGTGTGGGTGTGTGTGTGTGGTATCTGTCACACATTTTAAGTGCGGTTTAAGCTTCATAAATCTGTGTCATAGTCGGTAAAATGCGATCCAAACCCCCGCCGCCTACCACCCCAAATCATGCGCCCAGTCCCAGTCACGTTCTAGGCCAACCTGTCCAACAAACACGACCGGGTGTCCGGGCGTTGATATGCATTATGAATTTGCGTGCTGTGTGCGAGATGAAAAGCGCTTCAGCCACGCACTTAAGTACGTTTTTCATTTGATATGTTTAACAATGGTGCCAATGGCCAGAGGGAAGCAGCCGCTGCCTGAGACGGAGAGTGGGCAGGGGGCAGGGAGAGGAGGGACGCACTGATGAGAGAGAGAGAGGCGCGTTAGACAACGAGACAATCAACGCGTCTACTCCAAATTGATAGTAATCATGTGTGCCATGTCGGAGCACAAGTGCATAATCACTTGGCTAAATACATAACACACACGCACACATACACACACACACACACTAATTACAAGTGGCTTGTTGTCTGTCTGTGTGTGGCAGCTTCTTGGCTGAAGCGTTTGTCCTGCCTCTTATCAGGTCAACAGCCAAGTTTAATGATGGATATCAAGTAATTAAGCAACTAGCGAGTGCAAACTGACTCAAATATTATAATATATGCGGCAGATGGGCTATCTGTTATTTAATTAAAGGCTTTAATCGTCGATCTTGACAGTATCTCATGGGCACGGTCAAATAATATATTTGACGATTCAAGTCTTAAACTTCTTTAGCATTGTTAAATATATCAATTTAGCCGCTTTTCTATGCTTTCCGTAGACCATCCCATGTCGTACATCAGATATATACCTCAAGTCTTAAGCATGTAATTTTCATCAAAGACACAATCAAAATAATATATTTAATATTTTTATAATATATAGACATTTTTACCGAAATAGTTGGGGAACTTTTGACCTATTTGGGAGATTGAATTCTCAGCAGATCTCTTAATATATCTGTCTCATGGAATTATAGGTTTTTAATTAGACTTATTAATGACTTTATATCTATTTTTCAGCTGGAACTTTAAGCAACTTCAATAGTAGAACTGTACGATATATATTATTTATAAAAGGCTCTTCCCCCAGCCTCCCAGGCAATATATATAGAGAGTGTTTTATGCATTAGACCTTTCTTAGGTCCAGATCACGCAAAGTATATCAATCCATGTATCTGATTAATAAGTTGTTTAAGTGGCTTAGTCATTAAAGTGAGTGAATTACCAGACAATATATAATAGTCCTTTTCTACGTTTACTTTTTTATATACTCGAACTGGACATGACTTTGTGCCTTCAAATCATTCGTAACATTTACTAAAGAACTTCTGCTATAAGGAAGGAGATTTATAACAATAATATAAAGCAAGAAGAAAAAACAAATTTGGATCTTTGGATATGGTTTACGCAGCATAACTACGAGGAGAATTGTGCATTATTTGCATTATTCAATCGATAAAATGATGTGATATAGGCGTTCGCGTCTTAATAGGATTTGTCTCTTGTGTGATGAGCAAGTATCGTATATATCAGGAAGAGATAAGCCGTTCCTATGGCAGCTACTAGATATAGTAATTGGATCCAGCCTGATCCGACATAAGACCCAAGCACTGCGAGACATTATCGTCTCGGCTCTGGCCGATTAAGATTAAGAATATACATATATACTTTGTCGGGTCGTAAATGTCTCCTCGCGGAGACAATGTCTCCTGCGCGGGCACAAGAATGAAATGTGTGTAGTTCTTCTATTGCAAACATAGCTTATAAAATCCATGTTAATTTCTTGTTAAGATATATTTAAATATCTGAGTACAGAGACATTCAAATTGACCTGCTCCGAGATATTGAACGTGATATTATCTAATACTGTCAGTGCACAGAAGTTACCAAAAGCGATTAGGGTCTGGCTCTGGCTCTGGCTCTACCTGTGCCCCTCTCCCTACCTTTCCCTTTGCTGCCTTACTGCACAGGTAGCGCTGCGGGCAACACAAAACGCATGTACTGGGTCACTCAGATTTCGGGATTTGAGCTATTGACGACTCACCGGTGAGAGCCTTGAATTCCTCGAGGGAATCCAAATGTTTGGAGAACGGCGCCACCTTGGAGCCGTTGTCTAAGTCGCTTTTCAAATAAATTTTGGAAAATTCACAGCACAAAAACAAACAAAATAAACACACAAAATCGAATTGGAAACCTTAAAAAGCATCAAGTATTTAAAACTTTGGTTGTTTCTTATTTTTTTTCCTTTTTATGCGCTTTGCTAGTTGAATATTTGTCGCATTTTATTGTGGAAATTTCAGAGCATGCGAGGGGCGGCACGCGCGGAAAACGGGCAGCGGGTGGAAAGTTAAGAAGCAAACGAAACGATTAACCGACTTTCTTTTCACGAGACACACGCCAGCAGAGGGAAATAAGAAAACGCGTCTGTTTGATTGAAACGCGCTGTGGAAACTGAAATGCCTTTTATTTTGCCACTAATTTTTTTTTATTTCGGCTTTTTGTTTTGTGCGCTCCTTTGGGCTGCTCCTGTAGCTGCTGCTACAGGGGATGGTTGGCAGCGCGACAGGATGCAGTCCCAGTCCCAGTCCCAGTCTCAGTCTCAGTTTAAGGCACAGCCAATGCCGCACACAAGCAAACACACATAGACACAGATACACACTCACACTCACACACAGATACAGATACAGACACAATTAGGGGAAGGCGACCAAAAATGCCAGCGTCAACTGCGACGCGTCGTGCGTCATGGTATATGAGAATCAGGGAAATTCCAAGAACCGCCACAGCAAAGAAATTTTCATTTCAAATCATGTTTTTTAGCCGCCCCCAAACCCTTTCTGCTGGCCAAAGCTTCAAAGCAAACTGTACATACACACACATATTGCAGCTAGATCGGGCACATATATACACATCTATATGTGTATATGTATATACGTATGTATGTATGTAGGGGGTTGTAGGGCGCACAACAACAACCCGATAAAAACGGGCCAACTATTTAATAATAATGCACGGCTGCATTGCCTGAGCCGGCACGGCTTACGGGGTTGCTCTATGTGTTATAGGCCTTGCAATAGGGGTGACTATGCCATTTGTATGCCCTGTACGCTTTGATAAAGGTTAAAGAGGGTATATTGGTTTTGCTCAAATGTTTGGCACAGGCAAAAGGCAGCATCTATGATTACATGAAGTAAGTGAAATATCGATTTTGGGACATGTTTTTCTGGCTTAACTCGAGAATTACACAAGCTATATGTTATCGTATAGCTTAAGCAGACTAAGAATAGATAAACTTTTAAATAAATCTTTCCAAACTCTATAGAACTGGAATAATACTCATTTTTAAGGTAGAGCCTTTCGCTTTGGTATATGCATATGTATATGGCATATGAGTTTATGTGTGCGTGTGTTAAAAACATTCTAGACACGGCGCTTAGGGTATCTTCTAGTCGTGCACTTCCGATTAAATCACTTAAGACTGTTTGTAATGGCACCTCGGCACAGGGCTTAGGGTATCTATTAGTCGTGCACTTTCGACTAGAACAGTCTGACTTGTTCATAATCTCACACACGGGCGCACACACGCGCAGTGTGTACATTTTATCATATTCAGTTTCGGGCTGCAACATTTCCGGTTCATTGTAATTTCCAATTAGACAAGACTAGGCTTGAACTCGGACTCGGGACCTCGAACTCGGCTCAGGCCCGACTCACAGCTGCCTCGGTTGAGGTTGGGAATTTATAAGGGAATGCGTGCGTGTGTGTGTTGCTGCTGATGTTGTTGTTGTTGTTGTTGTTGTTGTTTGTCCTTTCTACCCTTGTTGGCAATTGGAATTTATGGTATTTATTATTTTCGCTTGCATTTCTCTATTTTCTTTCGCTTTATTCACGCTTGTGACTATGAACAGCTGTGCGCGAGATGCTTTGATAGTATTCGTGGCGGCGGTGGTGCTGCTGCTGCTTTGTCGGTGGTGGTGCTGCTGTTGGTGGAAGAGGTGGTGGTACTACACCAGGATCAGTCACCCCACTTGAAATGCCACTGTCTGTGTCTGTGTGTGCGTGTGCGTGTGTGTGCGTGAGCTCGTGATGCATGAGCCGTAATGCTGCCCATTAATGGGGTGATCCTTATTCAAATCTCTCCTGCACCCCACAGCACCAAAAATGTCCTGCAATGTGCCAAAATAAGTGGAAATAGATTGTTCTGATCGACCACCTGATATCCTGTACCCAGCTTCGATTAGCCCTATCATGCATTACCCCTGGCCACATGCACAGACAACTACATACAAGGAGCGAAATCCGAAAGGCCACGTTAACGAATCTAATCCAAAGGCAGGGAGTTGGTTTGATCCGTCAACTGTGGTTGACAATCTGGCAATGTTATCGAGAGTGGTGTTATCGATAGTTATCGAACTCGAAAAAAAGCGAATCGTTCTTTAAAAACAAAGAAATGTCATCTAAGAGTTGTTTTTGGTTGTGGTTATGATAAGTATAGGATAGTATGAATAGCATTGAATACAGCAGCCACACACACTAGACTGGGATTTGAACCAGCTAGCTGCCTGTTCGCTTGCCTGGATCACTAAGACGGCTCAACCGCCGAGTTGTGTATGCAATAAATTTATTTCTTTGCATTTACACAGCTTTAACAAATCCCGTAAACTCATGTTTACAGGGTATAAGAAACGGCAGCAAATTAACCCCTAACCTACACCACCACGCCACACACCACACACAACACACCACTGTGTACAAACGAAGCCTGCACAGTGGCACAATCGGCATTCCATGGTATGTGCGCGAGTTATCAAAAATATGTATCGCAACATATTTAGCAGGACATGCACGTAAGCAGACACACAACAGCCAGGAGACACACC